ATATTACATAATATTGACACCCAGGATGTGACATAACTTGAACCATTTTTAAAAGAATGCTTGTCAAAAATAATCTTGAAACTATTTCTCTATTGTCATACAATTTAATGTTGACTGCATTCATCAAAGAGCTGCTGTAACAGTACTGTGTTTTCAGTTTCGATTCACTGCTGAGTTTGAGTCGCTTTAATTTGCATTTGAGAACGCAACATTCGTCATTAGAATCGTTTATAAATCTGTTGTTGATTACAAAGAGAAGTTTCAGTGTCACATGATCCTTCAAAAATCATTCTAATATGCTGATTTGCTGCTCAAGAAACATTTACTATTCATTATCAATGTTAAAAACCGTTTTTGCTGCTTAACATTTTTATGGACACAATGATACCACTCAAACATTTGTGTTAAGATTTAAAAAAAGAGAGAAATTAATAAATGTATTCATCATACGTTGAAGTGATGAAAAGTGAGTGAAGACATTTAAAATGTTACAAAAGATTTCTATTTAATAAATGCTTTAATCAATTTAATAGATATATTTGATAAATGCAAATAAATTCTGTTTATTTATTTAAAGAACTTTTTATCGAAGAATCCTGAAAAATAAAACGTATCACCATTTCCACACAAAATATGAAGCAGCGCAACTGATTTCAACATTGATAATCATAAATGTTTCTTGAGCATCGAATCAAATTGTAATGATTCCTGAAGGATCGTGTGACACTGAAAACTGGAGTAATGATGCTGAAAATTCAGCTTTTCATCGCAGGAATAAATTACATTTTATAATATATTAAAATAATATTATTTTATTTATTTTTTTATTTTTAATATTTCACGATATTGCTGTTTTTACTTTATTTTGATCAAATAAATGCAGCCTTGGTGAGCAGAAGAGATTTATTTCAAAATCTTTAATTGTAATGTTTCCAATTTTTGGGCTGGTACTTTAATAACAATTCTATTAATAATTGTATTATCATATATTATATTATTATCATGATTATTAAACTCTTTTTATTTTTGCAGGGCAATAGTATGTATTACAAAAAGATATATCTTTTACTGTGATAAAATATATTTTAAAAAATAAGTGCAGGGGGTGTGGTCAGATTTTCCTTTAGTGTCTTTAGCTGATCATGTGCATGTTAATTACCTACACACATTTTTCAAATAAATTTCCACAGAAGTTTTCACACATCCAATGGAAACAGACAAATCTTAAAAAAAAAAAACATATATATATAATCTGCATAATATATATGTAATCTGACAATTATTTGGCCTCTCCAGATACACTGTTTTACTGACACTTTGTTGGAAAAGAGTAAATATTGCTTTTATGCCCTGCATGAAAAGCTATGTTGTTACAAAAACACAAAGATTGATGAAGTTGCTGTTCTTTTGACTGTAGTTTCGCTTTCACAAGGAAACACACAGTGCCTTCATGACATGGCGGTGGCAATAACAATATTACAGCGAGAATAAAAGTTACGCCTTCTTTCTTCGCGTGAACGGATAGTGACGTAGATATGTGGGGGCGTGTTAGAACGAGCCGTTTTAGGTAGGCGTGGCTGACCCTTAACTTTTATAAAGAATAACTCTTTGGATTTGAGACTTTAGTCTTTGTAACTTTACAGATCT